TGCAGGGGGATAATAACGTAGACGTCCATGGGCCCATGCATGGTCCATGTGTGCCTACGTAAATCTTCAGGCCCATCAAGAAAACCTAACCATCTAAGTTCTCCTAATCCTATCTCAAGATAACAAACTGTGATAATCTTAATCCTACCTCCAGATAAGAATTATCGTAGATAACCCTAAACTAACCCAGATAAGCTTTATCTCTTATCCTTGTATAATCTCACTGTAACTCAACCGGATTGATTCAATCCTAGTACAAAACTAGTTAACCAAATCTTTTTCAATATTTCTATTATTTTATTTCTGTTTTTCTGTTTTAACGCCTATGATTCGAGCAAGCGAACTTCGACATCACCCCAAGTTGAAATACGCGATGAAAAGATAATTCATACACCTTCGTCATTGTATCTTTCTCTTGAAACTGGTTCGAGCAATACCCTTCTTCGCCACTTTCTGATGTAATGGGAACCAGTTTAACTCACCGTCAGTCTACCCTACAAGTGGGAACTGGTTTCAAGAGAAAGATGCAGCTCCCTTCTTCGCCACTCTCTGATGTAGTACCATTGTATCTTTCTCTTGAAACCAGTTTAAGGGGTGCCTAAGTCGAAATACGCAATGCAGTACCCTTCTTCGTCATTGTATCAATTGGTTCCCAGTTGAGGTAAATGGTGTGAGTAGAATACTGTCGAAGATAGACTACTTTTTCTTTCTTTATTGCTGCTATCAATTAATCAGAGCTTAGCGCCGCAGGGCGGAGGAAGAGGTGATCGCCTAAGATATACGACTTATTCCTGCTCCGAGCTTCTATTTAACTCTCCTGTGAGTTTTAGAGTAGACTTCGGTGGAAGAAAAAGGGTAAAATGGTCCGAATATTATAATAAAGGTTAGTTTGGATATTATGAAATTATTTAAATTGCATCTAATCTCACGTGATGGTTTCAACTATGTGGATTGTGGCAAATTGAAAGTTTGGATATTAAATTATCGCATTTTAAAATTTGAATACTAGATTATCACTAGGCCTAATTAAAGTACAGGGTATTTATCGAAAATTTTACCTTAATAAATAAACGTCAAATAATAGGAATCCATTTGGGACCGAGCTGCTTTTGAGAAATTACCTATTATAATTTCATTGAAAAGTTGATTTTTGGGCTCATATAAGCTTATATATTTTTAGCTTTTAATATTTCTACCAAACCGGGCTTTCATGACTTTCCAGGTTTGATGGCTCATGCAATGTTAGAAACCGCTGTTTGAAAGCCTTCTCAAACAGGCACTAAGATCAGCGATTACCGCAGGAATCATGGCCTTAGATTTGATGCAATAACCCCACTACGAAACACTTCATCTAACTCAAGATGGGCTCATAACAATAAATCAAGGCTTTGAGTTTAATTGTTTCAGCGGAGGGTGTAGCAAGTGTGGGTTGCAAAGCAAAACGTTTCAGGTAAAAAGCCAACATAATACCAAACATAACCTACCTTTAACTTTAATTTCCATGGTGAAACAAGACTTCAGTGCTGGAGATGATACGAAACAATGAAGGTATGTCGGACGTATACACATTTATAGTGTGGTCACTCAAGTGGTGGGGAATTAATGCTGGTTCCAAACTCATCCTAGGTCCAAAGGGAATTCTGGGCTGTGTCCAAAAATTAATGACCCACGTGAATACACATTATATTCCTTGGCGTGTAGGGCATGTGAAGAAGTCAATTACACATTTACTCCCCATTAAATGCTGCCCATAGCTTCCTTATATTGGAATGAGGAGAGATCAGCTACGCCCGTTGGAGTAGCGTTGTGGCCACACTTTTAGGTTATTTCATCCAATTTAAGGTATATAGAAATTGAAATTGGATTCAAGAGTCATGATTCACAGTTTTAGCCGAGGGTTAGATATTGAAATTGGACTCAAGTGTTGAACAGTGTGTAAGAATAATAAAAAATTAATCAAATCTGACATGACATATACTGGTAGAAACAACGATTTGTATTGATTGTATTGATCAATCCAAAGTCATTCCTTAAAATTGTAGCTAGAAACAGAAATAGTACCAAATACAACCTGAATAGATCTCTTTCTAAAGAAACTAATTAAGCCCTCTGAGGGCAAGGCACATTGATACTCGTTGATTGCGAATCAATCTGGACTGAATACCATATAGTGTTGCTATAACAATATAATATGACTTATACCATTCCATTTCTGCTGATAAGGAAGAGTTTCTTGAAATGCAACACCAAATTTTTGTTTCTTGAATCGTCGAAGTGATCCTGAATCACCTTGGTGACATGGTATATTGAAATTTGAAAAAATTGATTCTTTTTTGAGATGTCACACAATTATCATTATAAATATATTATAATATTAAGTCAAATTACTTTAAACATCCAGCCAACCTGCATCATTTTCTTTTTTTGTGTTTATCAAAAAAACAGATGACATAATCACTGTAAATCAAGGCCCACTTGTAAAACGGAACGGTCATTAAACGCACTGGTCCCAAAACAGTATTTTTAGTTACCCTTTGTATCTGTGAAAGTTTTGTTCATATTCTGGCGAAGTGTGTCATTTGTCTAGGACTCTCTCTTCTCTCTCTCTCTCTCTTGCTCCTGGTGGTACTACAATACTGCATGTGCCACCATGGAAGGAATAGTACCGGTGACAATTGTTAGCAGCCAAACAAACCCCAAAGTCCAAACCATAATTGAGTTAGTACCTGTTTTGACTGAATGTGCCAGTCTCAATCAGGCTCGGAGCTAGTGGTTCCAAAGTCCAAACTGTTGCAGGATGTTTCCAGGAACGGATATACACATGCCCAAAGGGTACTGTAATTCTATTGTATATATTGCAAGAAGTAACATTTTTAGACAGCTTTGATTGTTTAGGAATCATGAAGTTTACAAGAGAAACAGAAAAGAAAGAAACCTCATGGAAGAGATTTTAAACTATTGGAATCTAATAAATCCTATAAAATTGATGTACCCATTAATGACAACCATTGTATACTTCCTACTACTTTAAGAAAGAGTACTTTGAACGTTTTTCAGAATCGGGATTTTTTGCTCCTCACACCACATCCCACCGGGAGATATTCTTAATGTACGTACTACTGGGAGGTGCTGTGAGGTCCGCGTGAGGAGCGCTCTGTGAAGAGCAGATCCGGTCTGTTTTCATGTCAAAATGTCTCTCTTTTCTCTTATCCTGATTAGTTTGAAACACTGTTTCAAACAGAAACGTTTCATCTTGAAACGCTAAAGAGAAGAGAGTGAATATTTATAGCTTCTACAAATGTCCCAAACATGAAACACCATGCAAATTAACTGTCCGTCAGTACATGTGGTTGTTAGTTTCATTGTAACAATTAGGTGGTTGTTGGGGTAACTTTGGTTATTGGCAACTACAGAAATATACATTCCTTGGCTGCATAATTGTTCAGTGGAAAAAGAGACGGAGGAGCAAAATTTTACACCTCTCGTTCACTCAGAGTGAAAATAATTGCAAGGCCAAAACAAATTTGTTTTCTCGATCCCCACTCATACGTCAAAACAAATGTACGACACAATTTTTACATTTTGATTAATGCATCGCAAGCATGTATGATCATACAATAAAATCTCTTAATTGTCGATCGAGAGTAAATGAGGAATTCTAGTAAAGAATGACTCTTTGTGCTACTCTTCTGTTCTTTCGGTACCCTACCCCAACAAAAGACACTCTGCGAGACAAACTTGGGTATGCTTTTTAGTTTTTACTACTCTTCCGTCCCTTTTTTCACCCTCCATTTTTTTTTCTCCAAAAAATTGCTACATTTTGACATTTTGTATTTGATTGCCCCGCTTCTCTTCTCTCGTCTCACCTTTCACCTTTTTTCAAAAAAAAAAGGGGAAAAACTTAAGAGGAAAAGCCCAACTCTCTCCCTCATTATTTATTCTTTTTTATGAAAAAAAAACTCATTTCGTTCAAGTGAAGAGCTCATTATTCTCTCCCTACCAACGACTGTAAATATATTTTCATTTTAAATTAAAATTTATTTAACTGGCCTCTCTTCTAAGGGAGACATAGCCAAGTATCCTCACAAACTGCCACATAGTAAAGAAAATTAATGGGACCCACCATTAATGAGCCCTACATTAAACACTACTTAAGTAAAAAAAACAAGAAATCAGTACAATTATTTAATCCCAATAATATACATACATATATATATATATAAGTTTGGCTCTATCTAATGGTGTATGAGTTTTCCCTGGAGGCACGGGGCACCATGAATTCTATTGCCTGGCCCCATTTTCATTTACTCCATTTTCCCATAATTTCTGAAAGAAAATAAGCTTCCACTTCTTCTTCTTCTTCTTTATACAAGGGCCCTGTGCTGGTATTCTATTAATATATGTACAGGATCTTTTAAATATAATGTTATGTTTAGCTTTCGCTTTCTGGGTGTTTAGCAATCAGAGGAAAAGAAAAGAAGTTTGTTTGCTTCCTTGAATCTGGATAGAGGGTTGAACATCTTTACGATAAAATACAAAATTTTCCCAGAGTGGTGGAGGGGAGAATCTCTTCACACAATATTCCTAATATATTATTATTGAGCCTTATGACATTAAAAATTAGTTTCTCCTGGCAGATTGTCCACCATACTTCGGAGCTATTGGGCCCCTGAGGAGTTGCCCATGAGTTTGCACACTGTTGCTGCACGGCCCCGGTGCACCACTACGGATAAAAAAATTATAATAATCACCAATAAGATCAAACAAGAGGACTCGACACTTTTTAATGTTTTTGCTTACAGCTGTACTCGTCGAGTCTCCATAGAGTTTTTGAAATCCTGCTTATGGATAGAAGCATATACTACGGCAATATATCTCTGTACTCACTCTAATGGCTCCTAGCACTTTCAGGAATTGACTCTTGTTTCTACAGCAAAATCAATCATATTATTTGAAGCTTTGGAGTTTTGCATTTCTACATATTAGACCCAACTAGCAGAGACACCGAACTAAAATCCAAAAGTGGGAGAGATTTGTAGCAAGTGCATAAAGAGTCATGGGTGGGTTAAAAGTTCTACCAGAAATGAATGCGCTGTTAGTTCACTTTGGCACTGAATGGAAAGCCTTTAGGGAATGATCAAAGCAAACGTGACGAGGGTTGATTGCTTAGTGGAAAAGGGAACTAATCAAGTATGGGTTTGATTTCAAAGAAGCAATGATTCAGGTAGTTTAATTTTTCTACTAATCGAACTGTACTTTGCATTCTGTTCGGCTGTTCCAGAATGGATCGTGCGTTATGTATGTTTCCTGTATGGCTTATTGATGAGGAGGTGAACAGAAGAAATCATCACTTTGGTTTATTCATCCTGATGACTCTCAACCATCGTTTTAGAGAATGCCATATTTGGGTGACGCCACTCTTATCTGAGATGATGAGAGAATCGTGTTCCATCGATCCGTTTACAAAATTTTCTGTGTGAAAGGTTTATTTTGGTTATAATTAGTTTCATCGAATTTCCAGATGGTCCTTTGATCTCTCTATCATGATATATACGTAACCTAACTAATTAATGGCTTTCAGATTTACATCAAAGCTAAGAACGTGTTTTTGTTGTGGTTAATTCATTGTATTAATGTATTACCAGCGTGGTGCTGTCTTTTCCTATTTCAAGTTTGGAAGCTTGTTCTCGTTGTTGCTCTATGTATCCTGTAGTCTGTCTGTCATTACAGGTCCTAGGTTACAGGCTTTTTGGCTCAACATTTCTCTCTAACTTTTTCCATGGATGCTATCAATTAACCTAATTAGCTAGGATGGTAGCGGAATATATACCTCCAGATGTTCTATCTTGTTGCATGTGGACTCTTTTAGAACCACTGGAGATATGAATACATTTAACTAACACTCCATTAGTCAGATTTTAAGTTCTCAGTTCATCACAGTTCAAATTCAAAGATGAAGGTGAGAAGGGCTGCCAGAGAAACAGAAAATTTCCCAGCTGATCATGAGTATGATCTCACAGTTGATAATATTACAGAGTCAGATCGAATATCAATGTCCTTGGCAAGTCGACAATATAATGCAGCTGCTTGGTTTACTTTAATAATTAGACCCACCAATTAGATCATTACCAGTATCGAGAGTTCGCCATTGGAGATCGATTATGATGTTATTCAAAACTCTCTGTAGCTTTTCGTACGTACGTAGATCTGATTGGGTTTTCTCCATTAATGGACAGCTCGAAGAGGTCTGGTTAGAATATAAAGCGATTGCAACAACTGGAAAAGATTTGTTAGGAGGTAACGTGAATGTTCAGTTATATTATTGTTCATTCTCAGTTCTTCTCCATCGCACTGTAACAGTAGATATGCTTAATTAATCATCAGGGTTATAATAAGCTTTCAAATGGGTTGGTTTATAATCATAATATACTTCGATTTATTCTCCGCCTTATTCTTGCTTGCTAATGGATGGCCATATTCGGCTATCATGATTCATGACAGCGCAACAAAACATATTATATCATCTTCTGAACTTTTCCTGTACAGCTCGAAATGACTTATCACGGGCATCCACCCGAAACATGTTCATAGTGGCTGAAAATAGTACTGAGTTCTAATTAGATTCTAATTGAGACCTTGCATGAACGAACTGGTTACTTCTTGTTGATTCAATTAACAAAAATCTAGTTCAGTTTTAATACCGTGCATTGAACGGGTGGCCTAATGATACTCAGCAACTGATTTGGCGTCATTTGAGATTGGATTCCTTTGTTTCAGAGAGTGTGAGACTAAAATTAATTAACACTTAAATTCTTCAAAGAGAAACTAGTTTCAGCAACATCAATGAAGTGCGTGTACTCAAAAACTGTAAAGAAGGATGAAGTAAAAGAGAGAAATGGAGGCTCCCCAGGTTGATAATAATTACGAATTTACAATGGTGTACGTCTAATCAGATCGTTCTATATAAGTTCTAGCCATATAAAACTTGTGTGTTGATCTTGGGAAGAACTTCTACGTGTGTCTAGCTATTTGGGTAGCAAATCCCGCAACCAGCACTTTGGGGGAAAAAGGGGTCAGGGGGAAGAAAAAAAAAAAAAGCTACTTGGGTAGGATCCTAGCACCCTGTACAGGAACTGCTACGCATGGAGTTGACGTTATTGAAGAACAGTTGTGATGTTTACCTGTAATCTGCGCTGAGAGCTTTGAGCGCGGCCTACAGCACAAATGAGGAAAAGTAGGGCATATTCATGAATGCTGAGTCCTTCCATTTGATGGTCTTATGTTTGATCAATATGAACTGATTTTCTTCTCCTCTCTGAGTCTCCCGAAAGAAGTAAAGAACACAGCAAATCGTTGGGATGGCTGTAATGATCATCAGATGAGGAGAGGCAGCTGCTGTGCGAGACCCACAGAATGGTCTGATCTGTCAAAACATCATGGATGTCTCCCACCCTCGCATGGATATCCATACAGAGTCCATAGTCTGTTGTTTGTTATCTCCATTTCTACGTTTCTAGATCAAACCACAGAACAGAACCCTCTCGATCAGAAGGGTCCACAACTCGTTTTTTTCTTCTTCCACAAATCCCATCCAAACACATCATCTGAGCCCTTGACGCAAGGAATACTAAATAGTGGAAGAGTGGAAGAGTGACCAATACGCGGTGGACTCGGTTGGGTCACCTTTCATTACCAGTAGGAATTGACGAAAATCTCCTTTCCAGCCTTTGCCAAAAAGCATTAAGAATAAACTTTTTCTGTAGTTGACTTGTCTCTTATTATATATCTTTTTGCAGGCTTTGTGAGGTGCGGAGGCTTTACGCCAGAAGCACTTAATAATGTTGTCTTAGGTATGTATAGATTTGATTAATAAGATGAAGCACTAATTCAAGAAATACATGGGTTTGGGTCGTCATCTTTTCCATCTGATCAACAACAAGCTTTAATTAAAATCTAAACCAAGCAGCTGTGACCCTGCTGGAAGAAGAATCTAAGTTCATTATGACAGAAAAACCTTTTGGATTAATTCTACAGTCTTTCCTTCTCTCCTTTCATTATTACGAGCAACGCAAATCTGTATATACACAGAATAAAGTGATAATTAATTCATTTATGGGTGTTCTCTCTTCAAGAAAAATCTCCTTTTTCAAGTTAAATATACCACCTTTCTTTCATGGGTGTAACTGTATTTAACATGGATACTCTCTCTCTCTCTATCTCTTTATGTGGCTAAAGCATCAAAGCCATTGGAAATCGTTTTCTGAGAGTGAGGGTTTTCATAAAGTAGGTAGCTGGACATCAGCAACATTGAATTCTTTGTTGCTTTTGGTAAGATTAAGCTTGTCAAGCTTACCTTAAAGTTGGGGAATAATCTATTAATATGCATTAATAGATGGCCCACAACAATACGGTGGGCTTGATAACTGATGCTTTGTCCCATTTTAAATTGCCCAAATTAATTTAAAAAAGTTTCTATGCGTCATCAATGGGGCCGGGCCATCTTCTATGTATGTATGTATGCATGTGCCTCATGTATGTAGCTAGGCATGCATGCATGTAGGCTTTCTTAGTTTGGAATATGTAGTTTATTACTTCTTACCCTTTCATACCCAAGAGGACCAAGACATAATTTATAGTGGCGATGATATTAATGTATCCTCCTCAACAAAATGTGTGATGAATAACAACCATCTGATGTTAATCAGATCGTAGTTAGGTCAGGGGCTTACATCTACTACAGTAACTTGTTCCCCCATAACCTGTAATCTGTCATGTGCAGTATCAAACTTGACAGATTTCTTGATCTTGATGGGCCACTGTGCTCTCTTGGGCTCTCTCTCTCTCTCTCTTAAACTACAAAACCCAACCCTAATATTTTATAAATTGACAATGTGATCAGTATGTAGGTCCACGGAATGGCTCAAATGAATGGCAACTTCTGGTGGGGCAGGCTTGATCTGGAGTATAGGCCATGGAGCTTTTCCCCAACCTGTTGGATTTTTCCAAATCTGCAGAGAGACTATTCCCTTCCATGGACCAAACTTACATGAAATTGCAGAATGCTGGCCATGGATTGCATTGGTGGTTGGGAAGCTCTACTGTCTGATATTTATTCAATGCTGCATGGGGATTTTCAATTGGAGGATTATGTGCACTAGTATGGGCTGAGGATGTTTTAAATTAACTCTTGTCTAATCAACCCATTTTCATTAGATTTATATATAAAAGCTTACATTCTGTTTCACTTTCACATGCCCATCTCAATTCACATTTTGGTGGCAAGTCAAAAGGATTAAAGGAAGATCGAAGGAGGACTAAGCCATTAAAATATATAATTTATTGTTCACCAATCACCAATTGAGGCTATGAAGCTTAGAACATTCACATTAATGAAAATCTATTATTTGGGTTAGAACTAAGCTTGGCGTTAGGTTGTGGTTAGTTAAGGAGGGCAAGGGATGTAGTTAGGGTTAGGGTTTTCCGTAGTCCACAAATTTAGGGTTTTTATGGATAATGGGTGGTGATGAAAGAAGTACCAAAAAAAGGGGACATGCCCATGTTGGGGTTGGAGGTCTCTCGTTTGCTTCCAATTTCTTATTTTTCTTATTTTTAATTTTTTTTCTTACACCACAAACAACATCAAATGGTATGAGTTATGACATGGCATGGCGGGATTTTAAAAACTTCCTTTCCCTTCACGGATTAAAAGAAATATAATAAAAAAGAACAGAAAAGCTCTCCTCTCTCTCTCTCTCTCTCTCTCTCTCTCTCTCTCTCGCTCGTATCCGAGAATCCATTCGTAACCCTAAAAGCTAAGGTTTTCCCAGCTTTCGCACTCGAATTTTGCTCAAGCAGCTTCGAATTTTGTCGCTGGGATGATCTCTTAAGCGTTACCCTCGAATGATCTTCTTTTCCATATGTTTTTTTCTGGAGACGCCGCGGTGTTCCAAAGTCGAGCTGATGAAAGGTCGTTTCTCCTGATTTTCGACTGAGATAAGGTGTGTTTCACCTTGCTGCTTACTCTCCGGTACTATTTTTTTAACGTCTATGATTGGTACCTCGGTGCTTGGTTCCAGTAGCAACTGGGTTCTAGCTCCGTTTTGTATGGGTTTATAGGTTTTCTTGGTTGTGATTTCATTTCGAGTTCATCTTCTGAACTTGGATACCGTTGTCCATTTCATCTTATGCAAAAATTCAAGCCTTTTAACGATCCGCAATGTTTCTTCTCTGAGTGTGCCTTACCTTGTTTTTATTTTGGGTAGGATTTGCCGTTTTGTAGTTGTGAATTCATTAGCTCATAAGTAAACCCGATATATATTTGTTTCCAGAATCCAGACTAAGATGCATAATTTTGTGTTATAACAAGGATTGTGTAGAAGTACGCTTCGAGATTATTGTCGACTCTATCATAAACCACGATACATTAAAAGCATATTCTTTTCTTTTTGGAAGCTCTACCATTAGCAAGTAAACCCTAACATGTGTTTGTTTATTGTCTTCAACGGCATTATTTTATGATGTAATTTGCAGTTTCTGGAAGTAGCTTCAGCTACATAATAGATTGTATCATATGCGGATCATGGAAAAGAAAAAGGAATTATCAAATCTCTTCAAATTCATTGAGGAAATGAGCAATGCTGATTTTCGCTGTTAAAATCTAACATGTGCTTATAGTTAAACGTGGGCATGTTAGTTATGATGCAACTACCTATTTTGAGGAATCTTTTAACTATATGAATGACTATGTTGACAAATCGTGCAAATATGCATTTCATTTCAGACAAGCAGTTATTTCTTTTTCTGTTAAACTATAATTTATGTTTGTTTCCAACCTTATTATGATTGTGTCTAGGAAGTATCATCTGTTCGGGCTGCAGTATTATTTTTGTTTGGTAAGATGGACGAGAGTATCATGGGAGCATGTAACAGTGGAAGAAGTGAGCCAACTCTTGTTGCCAATTCTACAATATCACTCACTGAATTGAGATCCAGTGAGCATGTTACTGAGAACGATAAACAAGATGGAGGAAGGTGTACTCACTTCTCAATTCGGTAAGCTTATAGTTAGTTACTTATAAGCATGTCACAGTTAGTTACTGCTTCTGCAGGAATGCTGATCCGGTTAGACAGAATACCTACTTTGAGTTATTGCATATAGGTTAAATACTAAGATTTTTTTTTTTTCATTGAAGGCATGATGAGGTAGTATGACTGCTTGGACAATGCAACTTTCGTACTTTTCTCATTAATCATATACTTTTCTATTTCTTTTAGTCAATGACATATTAATTTGGTAGTAGCACCTTTCTTTCTGAACCTAATATGCAAAATACTTTTTGAAGCAGACGTGCTGTCTTGCTTCTTATATTTTGTCTTCATTTTCTTAACTTCAAATATCTTACAGTATTCATAAAAGAAAAGAACTTCAAATATCCTACAGATGAACTGATAGGTAGAAATGAACTGTTGGACCATTCTACTATTCTTACTTCAGATGATAATTGAGTTATTCTACACTTTTATCAAGTGAAATTGCATTGTTCAAAAATGGAGGCCGTACAACTAATCACAGCCAAGAACTGTGATCAAGATTCCAAAACCTTAAAAACCTACTAAGGCAATGGATAATATTAAGTTGATGGGGGGTGGGGGGACTATTTTGGAGTGTCCATGTTTATGTTATGATGGTTTGGTCAATGCAGCTATCACATCATTGCCCATTGATCATATATTTTTCTATTTCTTTGAGTCAATAACATACTAATTTGGTAGTAGCACCTTTCTTTCTTAACCTGATATGCAAAATACCCTCTGAAGCAAACATTTTTTTCCGGTCTTCATTTTCTTAACCTCAAATATCCCACAGATGAACTGATAGGTAGAAAGGAAATGTTGGACCATTATACCGTTCTTACTTCAGACGATAATTGAGTTATTCTAGTCTTTTATCAAGTGAATTTTCATTGTTTAAAGATGGAGGCAGTTGCAGTCAAGGGCTGAGATTAGGTATTTGAAAGTCCTACTAAAGAAATGGATAATAGATTGAGTATTAAGTTGATGGGGGGGGGGGCGCTATTTTGGAGTGTCGATGTTTATGTTCTTAGGAAGTATATTCATAGAGTACTTTGACAGGCATAAATCTTCTATTTCATGTGCTAGATTAGGAATATTTAGATTATTTGTAGAATTTGCTAATACTTAGGTAGTTTGACAGTTTGGTTAATGCAACGGTCATGCCTTTGCTCATTGATCATATAGATGATATATATTGAGTATTAAGTCGATGGGGGGGGAGGGGACTATTTTGGGGTGTCCATGTTTATGTTGTTAGGAAGTTTATTCATAGAGTACTTTAACAAGTATAAATCTTGTATTTCATGTGGTAGATTAGGAATATTAAGATTATTTGTAGAGCTTGCTAATGTTTAGGTAGTATGACTGTTTTTGGTCAATACAGCTGTCACACCTTTGCTCATTGATCATATATTTTTCCATTTCTTTGAGTCGATAACATATTAATTTGGTAGTAGCACCTTTCTTTCTGAACCTGATATACAGTATATTTTCTGTGCAAAATATTTTAAATCATGTTGTTTCTTATTTTTTTGTCTTCATTTTCTTAACTTTAAATATCCTACAGATGAACTGATGGGTTAAAAGGAAGTGTTGGATTATTCTATTTTTCTTACTTCAGATGACAATTGAATTATTCCACTCTTGTGTTTTTCGATAGTCAAGTTCTACTTTTTTAGCAAGTGAATTTGCATTGTCTTAAGATGGAAGCAGTAGCAGTACAACTACTTGCAGTCTACGACTTTGATCAAGTGCTCAAAACCCTTAGGATCCTACTAAGGAAATGGATAGATTGAGTATTAAGTTAATGGGGTGCAACCATTTGGGAGTGTCCATGTTTATGTTCTTAGGAAGTATATTCATAGAGTACTTTGACGGGCATAAATCTTCTATTTCATGTGGTAGATTAGGAATATTTAGATTCTTTCTAGAACTTCTTACTAAGTTGTTTCTGTTGTGAATACAGTGGATATGTTGCTGAAGTTCGTAGAAAAGACAGGAAGATTTGTTGGCCATTTCCAACAGTTGGTGACCAAACAGAAATGCTTCCTCCTTTGCAAGTTCCTGAATTCAGATGGTGGCGTTGCCAAAAGTGTCTGCAGAAATATGATGCTAAAAATGCTCCAACAGAAAATGGAATGCTTACCAGTTTTTGCAATACTGAAACAGGAGTTGGTCCATGCTGCACTGGAGAAAAAATTACAAGAGAAGGCAAACTTACTATTACTTTCAAGATAGACAAGCATGAGAACAATTTATCTTCCACAGAAACTGCAACTGCTCATGAGAAGAATGATTCTGAAGCTGCTACTCTCAAATCAAAGAGTGATGAATTTCATGAGCCAGGCTATAAAAGGAATCAAGTTATTAATGTTGGATTTGATGTCAGAAACTGTAAATACACGAGCAAGGATTCCAAAGAAATCTGTAACAAAGGAATGCCAGAATTATGCAGCATCAACTTAACTAAGATGAACAAACAATATGGGGACACGATAAGAGATTGTGGAACATCCAAAGTAGTAGATTTGGACAGTAAGAAAAATGAGGCTCCAAATTCTGCCATAGGTCAGACTGAAAAACTTAATCCTTTGGAACTGGGTGAGAGTGACTATGAGTACTCTGAAAATGATGAGAACTTACCTGGAAATACCGGGGGTAGAGGTGGAATTTTGCAGAGATGCAAAACAAGAAAGGTGCGCTTGTTAACTGACATAATAAGAAGTGAGGTGTTGGCTACATCAAATAAAATTTGTAGCTCCAAGAGAAATGCAAGAATTGATGACAACAAGGCAGAAGGTTTGCAGTATAAAGCAACAACAGATGCATCTTCTGAGGCAGCTCTACTTCCTGGAATCAAAAACCAAGCTGCATTCCAAAGAAATGATATAAAGGATGTGCTGGGTAAGAAAAAGAAAAGGAAGATGCCTTCAGATGAAGATATGGATCCTTCCAGAATGATCTGGCCCAAGGCTACTCGTCAAAATGTGAGGATCTTTCAAGGAAATGCAGAAATTAAACATATTGATACTGCATTTGGTAATTCTGAAATGGTATCCGATGCATCCATCAGGATGGATTCATATCCTGATTCAAAGGTTTATTTGCCCAAATATAGAAATGACAAAAATATTATGTTGGATAAGAAGAAAAATAAGATGCCTAAAGGAAAACAGAGGCAGCCTTCTTTGGCACCTTGGGATGTGAATGTTCAGAGGGAATTTCAGATTATGAGGGATCTAGGTTTCAAGTGCGGTGGGACTGAAACTTTTTCCCCTAAATCAGCAGAAGATGCATTTTCTGAGAGAGATGTGATGGCTGGTGAATCTGGCCTCCAAAATTATGTGGCTCCACAAAACAATGGTGGAAAACATATTTCAAATAAGAATAAAAATAAGATGTCTCCAATTGATGGAATTTCTAGGAATGATGCAACTGTTCCTTTTAAATCTTCCCAAGGTGTACTTGCTACAAGAGGTGGACATTGCAGTATCAATAGTGACATAGCAATCCATAAAAAGGCTATTGTGAGTAAGAAGCATGATAATGCACCTTTTCTTGAAGATGGGGGCCCTTTCAAAACATGCCAGTCAAGGGTATGGTTTTTTCTTTTGCTAACACTAGTATAACTATAAAATATACTCTTTTCTTTGCAATTCTTGTATTAGAAATATGTTAAATGCATTTGTTTCTTATAATTTTTTGCTTTCTCCTTTTTAGTCCATCTTCCTTTATTGTTCATAACGGACTTGGTATATGCAGGGCTATTTTCTAGATTAATCTCTAAAATCCAAGCATCTGAGTAACATTTGTACATAGAACTTATATATCGAAGTTTACATGTTATTAAAGCATCCAAATCTCCATTTTCAGCATTATCATCTGACAATAAACAATTGGCTTTTGAGATTGAGTAAACATTTATGTGGCAAGAGCAATGTTTGATAACTTATAAAGCAACAAAATCTATCAACAGATTAACCGGCTTCATTTTTTTCAGGTCTAAACACACTGATGGATATTCATAATCAATTGTAATGCTAGTTTGGACTATTTTTTGGCAGTTATGAAACACTTTTTATGGCTATAAGCATATGTTTATCCTTGCTCTCTCTCTCTCTCTCATATAACTTTTTGAAGGTGTTCTCTATCATAAGATGCACATTTACACAATATGGTCACAAATAACAAAGAAATGTTGAACTGTTTTCTCATCTAACGATTAACCCAAGGATTTGTCAATAGAAACTTTCATTTTAGACTCACTTCAAGCTTTCTCTTTTTTCCTTTTCTTTGTGATAAAATGATCAACATGCCTATACTTAATTTATTTTCAGTATAAAAAACAAGTGTTGTAAGTTTGTCCTTTCACAAAAGAAAGTTAAAAGTACACAGTTGCTTTACCTTTGTAAAAGCAATATTTCTTCATATATCTGATGAAGCAGGATGCATAATATTCCCAAACTACCTTCTTTATTCTGATGCCTTTGTTTATATTATTTATTACATTGTTTCTTTATTAACGTTTTATTCACCATTGCAACTGTGGCATGGCTATGTTACTTGGTTGGTTGGGTCATGGACTTGATGAAGTAAAATTATGTCTAGTTTCTTCATTATAAAATGTATAGTTCCTTTGATTTGGTTGATTCATATTTATCCATTATTAGCTATTTTAGAATCTTCATGTATGCATTATGCATGTATTTTAATACCTTACTATTTAAAAAAATTTATTTTTCTGTTCATTTGTCCTTTTTTCTTTAAAATTTTCTTTTTTAAGATCATCATCATTGTCCTCTAAGCCTTGTCCCAACTATATGGGATTGGCAACATGAATCCTGTTTCACTGTTCCATTCTGTTAAGTGCCATATCTATTATTAAATAATGAGTCCTTAAATCATTTCTTACCTCAGTCACTGTCTTTTTTATTCTTATCTGATGTGCATTTGCTAAATTCGTTTAGAATATTTATGTATTTATAGAGAAATGTTAATGCATTTGTTTTAGGAAACATCCAATACTTGCAATTATGAGAATGCCACTGAGGTTCAAAGGCTTCCAAACCTTCCAATGAGTGAGTGTGATCAAAAGGCTGACAAAATGAATGAACAGACAACTTTAGATGACATTCCCATGGAAATTGTTGAACTCATGGCAAGAAATCAGTACGAGAGACGTCTCTTTTATGCCAAGGATGCTGCTGAAGCTCCTGAGCATGTGGCATTGACATTACTGTGTAATAAGAGTTTTCTCATGCAAAGCCAATCTAGCAATGCAGGGAGTGACACATATTCCAGAAGTGTTGAACCAACAAAATCTGATGGCTACTCTCCTCATGTCAATAGATACAACACTATCCATTTAGATATCAGACAACCAGAAAATGCTTGTGCCTCTATGAGGTTTACTGCATTCGCAGAGTGTCAAGAGAAGCTATCAAGTGGATACCAATATCCTTTAATTGGTTCTGGGAGAAACTGTCATACTCAAAATTGCAACTGGAGTCAGAACATACTGGGGAAGAGGTGTCTTGGGTCTTGTTTTCAGCCAATAAAAGCACATGGTATGTCTCAAAGCTATTTCCCACAATATTCATGCAAGGAACAACACCATGCTTGGTCCTCTGTAACACCAAATAACACTTCTTTTGGAATTAATAGTCCTCAGGAATTTCTCACTGAATCAAGTAACTTAAACATGGTTTCTCAGTATGTGGGGTCACTATCCAAAGGAAATTTGAACAGGAATCATGGCCTGAATCTGATAGATCAAAATGCTACCCATCTTCAAAGGCAGAAAGGGGGCTCTGATACGGGGATAAGGAAGAGGTCACATCTTGCTTGCACAGAGAAGGGAAATGAGTATCATTCAAAAATGATAAGGCCATTGGACCTATATACTAATGAAACAATATCAGCAATGCACTTGCTCAGACTTATGGATTCTGGGGCATGTTCAAATACAACTGTTAATATAGATGGCAACCTAGAGAAGTTCCCTGAAAGGCCATTCATTCCCCATGATCATCTTGACAAGGAATTGTCTAGGGTAGAAGTTGGGATATCCAAGAGAAATGAGGCTTCAATTCACGAACCTTCATATGATTACTTCAACAAAAGTAACTATTCAGATAAATTCTGTGAACATTTTTGTCCTGCTTACATGGTGGATAAATATAGAGATTCTAGGACTCCTGAGTCAACAGATGGAATTGTGACTAAAACTCCATCTCACTCCTTTAAAGTTAAAGATAAGAAGGGAAAAAGTCCTTTCTCTCCAGCAGAAACAAGAAGCCTGAGATCACAGAGATGCTCCTCCAGAGATGATATATCTAGAAAAATACATGGATGTGTTCCTGCCAGTGATCTGTCAAAAGGGTTCTTATCTTCAGATTCTATGCAATTTCATGTACATTCTCAGGTTGTAGAAGGTTCAACTAGGCATGTTGAACTAGAGGTCAACAAGAACGATAAACCTATTTCACCTGTGGAAACCATTTTCCAAATCGGTATTTGTACCATTAATAGAAACCCAGCTGATTTTACTGTACCTGAAGCAGGAAATATTTACATGATTGAAGGCAGAAATCTACCTTGTAGAAAAATAGCATCTGGGGATAGAGCCAACCTGATTACTCTGAATGGGCAGAAGAGACAGAGAATGGTGAAGCTCAAGGCTATGCCGGATCATGTACACCGTTGAAGTTCATGAAAATGCAGAGATGCCACAGTAGTATTGCTGTGTCCATATGAACATCTATTGACTGAGAATTACATCTGTCGACCAACTCTGGTTAGCACTACATGGCATCAGAATTGTAGTAGATAGAAATCCCTTATTTTCCACTTCAGGGGCTTTCTTTTGATCCTTTGTCAATATGAGTCATCTAAATGTTATTGCCAACTCTATAAGAGGATGGGTATCAAAATACAACTTTTTATCACACATACAACATATGTATCACACTTGGATCATGCGTTCTGATTCTTAAATTCTTGATTCATGGAGATATTGCAGGTCCCTAGCTGCAAAAGGCAAGTTGTGGCAAAGAAGGTATTGCTGGCATACTTGGATGCTTTAGCTTTGTATGATTAGATCTCATCTGAAATTTAGATCTGGGTGATTTATGATGGTATTATGCTTTTGACAGGTAGGATGAAACCTCAACAGTTCTCATTGGTTATAATGTCTCTTGGATGGTTCTTCAGTGTTCTGATCAATTCTGGTTGTCGTTAGTAGGATCTCCTGATGTTGCCTGCCCCACTGATCGCACAGGGATCAGCTACTTTAGAACCCATGGTGTGATATTCTCTAGTCCAAATAAACACTTATATTTGTATATTTATGCTACCCTTTCCTCGTCCAAGTACAACTCTGCAAAGGTGATTTTAGTTGTATCTTTTCTAGTGTCAAAACTTCATTATAGTTGCCAACTCAACAGAGGAACAGAAGTTGCAAGTAGATTGTAAATATGGAGTCTTTGGATGAGTTGGAAATAATGCCGTGTAAGCATAACTAGAAAATTGGTTTTAAAGTGAAATGTAAATTGAATAATACTTATATCCATAGTATATTAGACTGTTGCTTGGGTTGTCAGGTATTTCCTTTTTCCTTGTTTTTTCATTTATGTTTTCATGGAATCAGCCACAACCGTTTGATTTTTCCCCCTTTTCTCCTTTTTTATTTAAAAATTATGTTTAAATTGTTTATAAAGTAGAATGAACCTTCAGGAAGCATTATCACAACTCAATGTTTATAAACTGTTTCTTAAGGAACTTGGATACTTTAGGGCCAGCGGGAATGCTTTTACACATGGTAAAGGAAAAAAATGGCCCACAGCTTTTGCATTTATTGCCACCAGTTCTGAATTTTGTTAAAGTAATCCTGTAAATGCATTTAGATGAGTGACAAGTTTGGGTCTTTAGAAAGCATGAAGCCTAAAATAATTAGTTGTTAGTCCCCAATGGCCAAGGATAAGTGAAGTAGTCTACACTTTGTAGTCAGCTGATATTTGGTAATATATATATATATCCAAAGAACCCCAGACCAAAAAGGCATTGTACCTAACAAATTAATAACCAATTAACTGGTATTTTACTCAAACTTACCTAGGGATTCTGATTGGTTAAACTCTCTTCGGTGTCATACCTTTAATTTTAGTAGGGGAAGATGTGCCTTGTGGAGATGAGCAAATGGGTAAGTTCTACCTGGAACCGAATGGAACTAGCATTAAACCAACCCTACTCAATCTATTACTGGGTAGGGTTTGGTTCCAAATTCTTGGAATTGATTCCCACCCAGGTAGTTTCTAGGGTCTAGGGTTTACCCTACCTGGACTTATTAGATTTGGACCCAAGCACTCATGGTTTCAAAGACTATGGTTTCACTTGACCATTGAGTTGCATAAGTTATTTGATTATTTTTCTATAATTTAATATTTGAATATGTACAATAAGTATGTAAAAGGGAATATTTACAAAATTTAAATTATAACGATAAGTTTTGAGTTATATACTAATATATTATGATAATCTACAAATTAAATTACTCACTTTAATCAATAAAAGTAAGATAATTTTTGAATTTTATTATTATTATTATTTAAAATTTAATACATGATGTTTCCAGGTCTTTAAGGGAAATGATTGAACTCTCAACATTTTGTAAATTAAAATTTGTAAACGAGAATCGCATGGCACATGGGAACTTGAAGGGTTGCACTTGAGCTTACAGTATGACCTTGGGACAAGAATAGTATAAGAAATATTAGAAGTGGCTGATATGAGTACCAACCAATGAGATTATCCCACATCAAAGGGTGATCCATGTCAGATTAAGAAGGAAATTAAACACCCTATCAAGGGTTAAGAAGATAGCAGACTTAAATAAGAAGCCAACTTTAAGTGGACTTGGGTCGTGTTTGGGAGTTCGTTTTGCCCCAAATGGGCTTCTTCTGAAAAAGTCACCTTTTGAAATGGGCTTATTGAAGAAATGCGTATTTGGTTGGTCACGAGAGTTTTTGTTCAAAATATCTTGTAAACATGAAAAATTATATGGAGATTTTATTCTTTTTGTATGTAAAAAGCCATTCTGAGCTTTTTTTCATCAAACAATGTTTTGATTAGCTTTTGGCTTTGAAAAGAACAAAGCCCGTTGAAGAAACACACTCTGATGTGGCATCACTCATTGAATGTTACGAGGAAATAGATCTACAGATGTGCACTAAAGAGCATTGTTTCCATGATGAACTGTTTCGCATATGTAATATTTGAGAAAATGCCCTTGATATGTACCAACCCACTCAAGTTTCTTTAGTATTTTTCTTTTTAAAATTTTGGATGTATAGACAAAATTTTGATTCATTACTTATTCTACATATTTTTTGCAATATATTCTAATATATATTGTTTGTCATTGCATTCTTCACTCTATTCATTCTTAGGCCCCGTTTTTTTGTAGGTAAATGTACATAGGAAAGTTGGTCAATGGGTAACTTTTTCCTATTGACCAACTTTTTCATGTTCTTTTTACATTAAACAATGGGTCCCACAGTAAAGTTACCTTTACTTTTCATCTTTCACCTTAACTTTTGTATCTAAGAAAAATTATTACAAAACATGATATAATTATTTTATCCATTTTAATAATTATTTTTTATGAATAAAAATGCCATTTTATTATTTAATTGAGAATCTAAAAATCAAAAGAACATATATAAGTGCATTTATCCAAGCAAATGTTACTCAAGAAACATTTGTGTGGATAAATACATTTACCTACTCAAAAAACATTTACTTAAATAAATGCACTTACCTAAATAAATTCCACTATTACAAAAGAATAAGGCCTTAATGCAAAGATACCTTTCAAGTATTTCAAATGTAAAATAACTACGTTTATGAAAACTTCATCTTTTTAGTTAATTTGTTAATCTTTGATGGGGTTTTATCTGATTTCCCTTTTCAATTTGCAGTGTTATGATTTAAATCAATGTATTGGTGTTTGAAAGATTCCATAATTGCACTGAGAAAATGACACGAATGAACCATTCAATTCACAACCCTAGCATCTTTTTTGCCAAAAAGATTAAAAAAAAAAAAGGAAAAGAAGAAACAAACAGTTTTCCTATTTGATGCATGGGGTAAGTTTTACAATATTGATTTCACTATCTCCACCAAAAACAGAATAAAAACTAGTCTACCAAGGGGAAAATACCAAGGTAATGCGTGACTACTGCAGGTTGCTTCCACCTATGCATCTTATAATTGATTATTGATCTCGAATGCTGTGTAGATCTGCATTGCTTTCACATGCCTCATTTATTATTGCAGTAATGGTTATATTCCAAATTGTGTAAGATGCATTAATTACTGTCATCTTAGTACAACGTTTTATTGCCCTGACAACCGTAGTATATTCCAACTGATTTTGTGTTGGATTATAATTGGGTTGAGATAGGTTCTTGTTAATCAATTATATTTAAAGATCTTATGTTCTTCCACTTTTTTGTTATATTTTAGGGAGCTGACGTAAATTGATGCTAAATTCATATGTGATTTATAAAGAGGTTATTAATAGAGTATGAGGGCTGTAATTCAAATTTCTGCATTGGGTTGAATTGAAGTATATTTAACTCTATATTTTATGCCTAAAAAAATAAATTTTATTAACGTTATATTATCTAAAAAGAAGTTCGAGGTGTGGGTCAGACACAGGAGCCGTTTGGCAAATCTTTTTTAAAAGATTTTATAGTTAAAAAATATAATGAACTTTTGCATTAAGATCTTGACAGTCTGAAGACTGTTTAGTTAAGGCGTGTCTTTTTATACGTCTTTTCACCTGAAGACATAAAAAAAAAAAAGAAACTGAAAAGCTCTATTTGAAGCTTCTGAAAAATCATTCAAAACAAGTTTCATGCGTCTTTTCAGTATGACGCCTTTTGACAGATTTTTTTTTCCAACCAAACAAAAAAAGATGAAAACACAGGCTACTAGACTTCTAAAAGACCGATAGCCCATGCGAAAAGACACACTAAACGGAAGCCCCAATTGTCCTGATTAATAGTTGATTCAGTTTTAGGTTCATTTTATAAAACTGATTATCTACACCAGTCCATGCTCTGCCTAATCAGTTCTGATCCTCTATACATTGTCATAAGGCATCATTTCTCAACCATTTAATAAAATGACCATAAGACTTTAGTTTAACGCTTCTAATTTATTTTTTTCTAACACATTCTTAGGTTGCGTTTGGTTGCTTGTAAAAGGAAAGACAACGAATAATTTTCTTGAAAAAAAAATAGGATTCTTTAGGAAATTAAATCGTATTCCTATTTTTTTAATGTTTTTCTTATAAACACATGAATAGTTGAAAATTATAGGAGCATTTCAAGATATGTGTCAAGAAGACCAACCTCTGTTCAGAAAATGATTTGAGAAAATGTTCCTATAATTATTACTCACCTTTGGAAAAATGTTCCTGTTCCATAACTTTAATCATTTATTTTTCTTCATTATATGTGCAAGCAAATTAAACCCTAACAGAAAACTACATCTTTAATCTTTTAGCCTCTGTTTATCTCACTATTTGTCGCAGAGGATTTTACATCTCAAAATTTCAGCCATTTGTCTCACCCACTGGCTCTGGTTATTCAAGTTCCTACTAAATAGTTATAATAGTGCCTACTAAATAGAATAAGAAACAATATAGTTTCGACTTTCATGTAGTTTTGCAAGTCAAAACAATGAAATTTTCTATACTTTCTTCTCAAGATGTCAATCTGTAGTTTTGCTGGACTCCTTTTCTGAAGCCAATAAAGCCTATGCTATACAAGGATCCAATTGTTTCCAGTGCAAATGAAATTTACATGGTGTAAATGTACGAGTACAAATGGGCTGAGTGAAAATTCTGGTATTCTTTTGCTTTAGGTTCGCCTTCTGTTATTTTTGTTTGTTTGCAAGGAGTAAAATGGGGCGTAAAATGATATGGCCCTCACTTTATATGAGAGAGAATGAGAGAATGAAAGCATGGGAAGGATGTTTGTTTGGGAGGGATAAATTAGGAAGTAAAATGATGTGATTTATATTCATCAAAAAAAAGATGATGTGATTTATATGAGAAAAGTTTAAGGTAAGAAGGTGGCACAATTTTTGCATGTTTTTGATTCTTTGGGATGCAAAACTTGCATTGCCAAGCAACAGTGCAAAATTCGCATCAGGTAAAAGTGCATACAATAGTTATAAACATACGCAAACCTGAACCAGGTAAAAGAATGCACTCTGTGGGATTAAACTGAAACTTCACACCCATAAAAAGGTACCATGCTCTTCATACTCGTTTACAAAGTTTGCACTCAAGAACACTTAGTCTTCTATTGGTCCCACCCCACCTACCAACACGAGTCCAAGACTCGACCGACATCTTATCTGATGGATCATCAAGTAGGATAAATGGACAGACCTAGCCTAGGTTTGTCACAAGCTTTATGGATCAATTAGATCATTATACGAAAATTCAGCCCTGAACTAGGTCCAGGTCCATATACACTTTTATAACTTAAAATTATCTTCCATTATAGTACAATTAATTGGTTTTGATGGAAGTATAGATGATTGCCTCAGTACATGTATAAGAATATTCCATGATGACTAGAAGGATGGAGAACATTGAATTTAGTGCTTGGTGGTAGTACCTTCTTGAAATTCAAGAGAACCGAATAGAGAAACCAGTACCAGTGCTTGAAATGTCCATATTGCCAAATTCATCAAAGTCAGAGTCTAAATTTATGTCATTATAGTCACACCACCCGCCAGGAGATGCTTCATCTGGTCCGCTCTTTGTAGAAGGAACTCTCAGCTCAGTCACAGGTACTGGTAAAGGATCTTCATTGAAGTACTTTTCATGGAGCAGCTCCATTGCAGTAGCTCTGCTTGATGGGTCATAGCAAATAAGTCTTTTCAAAATACTGATTTCATCAGAGGAACGGTTTGGGAGGCAAGCTTCCAAACCAAGTGGGTTCTTAATATTGCTGAAGGATATTTTACCATAATCAGGAAGTTTTTGACAACCCTGCCAGGTTTCCTCAGTCAAGTTTCCCAATACATAAACGATCCTGCTAAGTTGATCGATATCAGAAGTTCCGGGGAAAAGAGGCTCCAAGTTGAAAAGCTCTGCAAATATGCATCCCAATGACCATAGATCAATCTCTTGCCCATAATTTGTGGATCCATAGAGTAGTTCAGGGGCCCTGAACCAACGAGTTCCAACACATGATGTTAGGGCACCTGATGTGTCTTCTCCAGCCTCTAACTCGTAAGAATAAGAGCTCTTAAAAGGGTCATCATCAATATCGCTTGTTGTGCACGTAGCAAGACAAGATGTGTCTCCATCAGGAAAGTTAGTTTCTTTATCAGTTTCATCCATGAAATCTTTAGCTGTGAAATCATATGGTTCTCTCAAATGTTCTTTACTCGCAGTTGCTTGCACTTGGTTATGGGAATATTCCAGGCATGAATTGTCCGTTTGTGGAATAGTTTCAGGTTGTTGAGGTGTCCATGTCTGATTTGAAATATTTTGCTCATGTAGATTTGTGTCCTCTGCAACAAATCCAGGTTCCAGAAGTATCCTTGCCTGGTAAATGAATACAAATCAATCTACAAATTTCTGGTGCTAGAAGAAAATGTTACGATAGTTACAACACTATGTTTCCTTCCTAAGAAACGACAGCATTAAATGTTATTGAACATAGTGAGCTTATCAATACCTCTGTGAAAAGAATATGATAAAGTAGAAATAGAGAAATATAAACACCCATTATAGTTTTAAGAGATAAGCCTTTAGGCAGTCTCAAGACTGGCTAAAGTGAAGCTCTGAGATTACATGTAGATTAAAACCAATTATATAGTTGGTACTGAAATCTATTTGACCTCAAAATTTTCTTTATTTTTTATGTTTTTACAAGGATTATATGTAGGCTAAAAGCAATTATATAGTTCATACTGAAGTCTCAAAATGAAGGTCAGTGTCTTTCATCTCTTAAATTTCAACTGCCTTAAGCGTTAAAATGCCTGCACATACCACAATGCAGGAGTACCAAATGAATGTATATAGATTTCTTGTTGCCATAGTGATGCATTCCATATTCTAACAGATACAGGACTTGTATGCCAAGCAAGTTGACACAATCACTTGGCCATTGGACATGCCCATGATCAAGTGTCACAGCATCATCTTCGGGTGCCTTCTTAACACTTTCCATTTTCTACTTTCACATAAAAATGAGCAACCATAGCTGTGATAAAGGAATAAGTTCCATAAGTTTCTTTATTTCTGAAATTGCTTCGACTTTCTTCTGCAATACAATGGGGCATGTGAACATTCTTCCTTCTGGATTGATGATAACTAAAATCAATCCAGTATGCATACACAGTTTATAGAAGTTTATGCGTCTGAAGTGGAGGCACTGGCTATCATCTTGAAAGCATACGAGTTAGGCAAACTTCTACTCGAATATATTCATCTAAGAGCTTAGTTAAATTACAAGTATGAATTCAAACAATAAGTATATATTCCATACTTGTAACAGAACTTTCTGCTGCAATCTAGAATCTAATTGTGAACCATATATAATCGGGAGGGGAAAGAACATGAAGTCCGTATATCTTAGAGCATTACCTGTCCAAAATCCGCTAATTTGAGAACACCATCGCTAGAAATCAACAAATTTGCGGGCTTGAGGTCTCGATGAACGATCGAATTCCTGTGACAAGCATCAACGCCGTGCAATATCTGAATCATCCATCGCTTGATCTCTCCGACGGAGATACCGTTGTCCCAATTCCTCTTAGCTTCCTTAATCACCGATGCGAGATCGGTAGTTAGAAATTCGAGTACGAGAACGGCATCCTCGTCTTCCCGCCAAAAGTACTCGTGGAGAGCAATGATGTTTGGAGAGCTTTGGAGGATCTGTAGGGCTTCGATCTCTCTGAAAGCGCTCTGGTAATCGTGGACCTCTTTCAGGGCGACGGTGAGACCGTCGGAGAGGCGAACAGCCTTGTAAACGTCAGAGTAAGTGCCAGAACCTACTTGTTCGAGGATCTTGTATCGTTGAGTGATTTCTGTGCGGCTGAAGATGCTCCAGCTTTTAGAGGGAGGATCCATGGCGAATATAAGACCTAGGTTTTCTGCTAATGTAGGCAAATACTCAAATCTTCGAGCTCCGTTGCATGCACTGTGAAAAGTCTAGGGCTTTTTAGCTGCAGAGCTCAAAAATAATTTTTTTTTAATAAATAAAAAAGCCAAAAAAAATCCTCACCAGGAGCGACTGAATGAGCGAGATAGAGAGAAGAGACAGAGTACCGAGCGGTTTGACCTATCCTTATACCGTTATTTGCTCACCGTTACCGAGCGGTTTGATTTGAGCTACGTCAGTGGTGGGATCCACATTTATGAAGATCCAAATCCATTATGTATTTCCTGGGTCCCACAACTTGTTAACCCGTGCGCTTTTCCTTTCCCTGATTCAAGTCTGCAACGTAAAGCCATTGCCCATTAATTGGACTGATATTTTTTTGTTCTTCTTCTCCGTTTTCTTCGAAGATCTGTTGGGGTTTCGAATTTTCCTTTCAAGTAAGTTTATTTATTGGGTTTCATTTCGATTTCGGAGCAATACTCGGTTGTGATTTTTCTACTCAACTTTTTAATTCTGGTTTGCTTATATTTTGTAATTGATATAATTTATGTTGTTGCGATAAGTTATATTGCTAGAAGCCCACGTCTTTGCTTTGATCACGATCTGATCTTTCGTCCTGTTCTTCCTTCTGTTAAAATCTCACTAAGAAATAGAGGTTCATTATGGGTGGCTGTTGCTAAACAGAGAAGCTGTGGGTTGTCGGGATGTTTATGAGTTTTTGCAGAGAAAGTTTTTGAAGAAATGCTTAAGAAGATAAAGTAGCATTCTTTTTAGTTTCTTTCTTTCTATTTTATCATTCTTGATACTCTATTTGCAGTTGTCCTAGGCTTGGCAAGTTTGGTTCACAATGGAGGGCGAAGAGGATGCCGTGAAGAAGGCACAGATGGTGGAAGCTCGGGCTAGAAACATTAGCCACAATGTTCGTTGCACCGAGTGTGGAAGCCAATCCATTGAGGACTCACAAGCAGATGTCGCCATTCTGCTCAGGAAGGTATCTCATTCATATTCATTTCTTTGCTTATGTATCACCCCAATTACCTGCTTTTCTTTTCATAAAAGATGGTTCAGTATTTACCCAAAAAAAATGAAAAAAGTTCAATATGGGTGATTGAATTTTGAAACTTGATATTCAACCACACCACGTCTGCAGTTGATTTGGTCTTCCACTCTCTCACTCATATTCAAGTTTTGATGTCATAAAGGCAACCTACCTGGAAGGCTGGAACACTTCTTTACTTTTGTTTCCTTTTAGACTGCCTTGACCATCCCCCCTAAAAAAATAAAGCTTTTACCCCCCTATACCCATGCTCATGTTGCTTGTGTCGTCACTGCAGTTGATTCGTGATGAAATTCGTGCTGGGAAAACTGATAAAGATATCTATAAAAAGCTCGAGGAAGAATTTGGAGAGACTGTTCTCTATGCCCCACGTTTTGATATGCAGACAGCAGCTTTGTGGCTATCACCTGTGAGTTGTAAAGCAAACAATTGAACTTGATCCAAACTAATGGTACAGGTTCTTTGTGTTAATAATATTGTTCATATATTGGTTTTGGTTACAGTTTCTAGTTGCGGGAGCAGCAGCAGGGATATGGGCATTTCAGAAGCACAGACAGAAGACAAATGTGCACATCATGGCACTGAACCTAGTGAGAGGCGTTCCCTTGACCCCAAAAGAGAAACAAACGATGCTAGAGACACTGATACCTCCTCCACGAGGAAATAGGTGGTGGCGCAACTGACATCTCACTTGCCACTGATCTAGTGGCTTCCACTTGGTGATGATGAATTTAAACTGTAGCTTGTGGTAGTGGAATGGATTTTTACAATCCACAAGTTTGATTATGTTACTCTTATTAATCTTTTCTAAATTTTATTCCTTTCATTCAGCTTCTTCTGAATCAAATATCACTTTCCAAGCATTTAAATGAATTGTTTTGCTATTGAATACATTTTCCAAAGAAATCATTCATTTCCATTTAGGCCCCTTTTGGTAATTTAATACCTAGGAAAACGTAATTATCCGATTAAGTGTTTTCTGTGAAACACTTACCCGAATAAGTGTATTTATTCATGCTATTTTATTTCCTAGGTAAATAAGATTATGACTGTTTTAGTTATAAAATTCATTATTAAAAGGAGTAATTTTGTCCCATCCAAGTATTGGCAACTTTTCTTGGTGGGAAAGTTATTTACCCACCTGGGAGATGGGTATGACTTATTCTGATTAGTGATACTTAAGAAAAATAAAATTTTCATGGACCCACATAAATCTGAAAAAAAAGTATGGGTTTTTTGGTCAATGAGAACCAACTTAATTATAAGTGATAATAAACACAAAAGGCAAGGAAGGAGAATTGCATGTCTTCCAATACTACGATCCCCAAGACTTTCTTTCATTCTTTCTTTCAAAGCTATTAAGGCTAATGCCATTAAGAAACTCCATTTAGAGAATAAGTTAGCTGAAATAATGTCAACAATGAAAATTGGCATTACGGACCAAGCAAAATACTATCTGTTAACAGTAGCAAACCTAACAAATCTTGTGTGTTACCAAGCCACAAGAACAGAGACAAAACATGTTTTTTTTTTTTTTTGAAGCCTACAGAGACAAAAACTGTATTAGCAGGTGAGGAAGGGAAGGCCCCATAAGACATCTGTAATCCCCTAGCAGATGATGAATGGACAAAGAGGTTTTATGCCTTCCAACAGAACTTTGGTGATTGATTGAACATCACTCTGGAAGAAATCATACTACAATATTAACCGACTGCTAGTTAATCCCAAGTCCTCTTGTATAGAACGGCCAAGAACAGCTGCAACCAAGCATGGAAATAACGGCACTATCCTGTCTTCATAGCTTAGATCAGTTGTAAACAGGCATTATTGTGTCTTTTTTTTTTTTACAATTTTTTACTTTTTTTATATCTTCTCCTGTACAATCTAGAATTGTCATATCAGCCTTCAACAATAAGCCCCTCTGAACTTAACAGTTCTAACAGAATGCATTAAACTCAATAATAAATGCCATCAACCATAGCTGAACTTGAGGTGTTCAGCACCCAAAAACCATAAAACAGAAAACTGAAGGCTGAGGCCTGAGAGAAAGGAATTGTACGGAATCTTTAAGCTCAATTTGGAAGAAATATAATAAAATGCAAAACTTTGTATTTTTTATGCATCTGTACTGTATATATTTGTATGTGTAATTTTTTCAAACTAAGCCTTAGGAACTTTCCCTTTTATTTTTTATCAAACCAAACACCCAACCATAGCCCAATCAAAGTAGATTCTTTACCTACACTCCCTTCTTTGGAAAAAGAAGCTTATACCATTCATTTCCATCAAATCTTTGAAACTTGCCATAAGATGCATAGCTGATGATACATAACATAATTCCACCAAAGGTCATAACTTATAACCTTTAAAATTAAAATAATTATTCATATATAATATATAAATATGAATAAACATAGAAAAAATTCACTAATCATATCAAATAAGTTGTTCTCCTACATGATACACCCCATTTTTTGGTATTACCTTTTTGCACATTATTCACAAAGATACCACGACATCCATTAATCTTAACCGTGGAAAGCCTGCAGTAACATGGGTTTGATTTCACTCCACTTTCAGGGAGATGCTGAGGGACCCATTTCAGCTACTAGGTGACTTACAAGGATGATGATATGGCGCAGAGCCAAACAGCCCACCATGTGGTGGCCCTATTAATTGGCCAGGCACTCAGCCTTGTACTCCACCATGTATTGGTAATTGGTTTCTGTGACAAATATTTCAATAAAAAATTTAATTTTATAATATAAAAGATAATATCAGAGAAGGGCTTATTGTGAACAGTTGGCAAGCATTTTGGCTGAAACTGACTCATGAATATCTATCTATCAAGAAGATGTTGGGCCAGGCCTCCAGGAAAAAAATGTCATCATGATGAAGAATTCTGGTTAATTCAGTAAGCTCACTAAATGATCTGACTAAAAGACCCGCTCCCATATAAAAATGTCAGCAAATTGGATTCACCCCACACACGCCCCAAGCACACATCTCAACCGTGTATTGAGAACATTTTCCCGTGCCTTGACTAAGTATGGGAGATGTTCCCAAGGCACGCTTAGAGGTGTGCAAGTGGGACATCAATCTGAACTCTGACTTCGGCTTGACCCATATGTGATTAATCACTCAGAGACACTTAGACCAACACAACTAATATTGAAACTTGAGTACAGAACCTGACCCAACTAAACCAATACAATTCAATTAATCGAGACTCAATTACTGCACCTGGCTCGATCCTATTGGGCCACAATTGAGTCTGGCTTGACAGATAAACAATACCCTTAATCAAGAAACGCCATTCTTTAAACATGCTTTGTGCCCAAAGCCCAATGTGTGTTGTTGCTCTTTGAAGTTGAAACACTTTTACTCTACCAAATACCGTTTTCCAACATTAAAGTTGAACAGGTGAAGTTTGGTGGAATATGCCTCAGCCCAATGTGCGGCTGTAGAGATCCGGATCCAATCCAATGAGGCGAGTTCACTATTTAACCCAATGTGTTGACAAACTTGACAATCAACTTTGGGTAAAGCAATTTTTTCAACCCGAACCCGACCTTTTGATATCAACATTTTATCAGAATGATTTGGGTTATGTTCGAACTAATGCAGACCAAGTTGCGCCCTAATTAATAAGGGTCACATAGCCCCACGAGATTATGATCCACATTGCCTGCCTATGACCTCACCCATCACATTTACAAAGCTATAAGATTGATTAGGGGCACATCCCAAGTTTTAAAAACGAGGCACACCCCTTTTGAAAAGACAAAAGGTAACCCTTATTAAAGCATGTGGCCCCTTTGTCAAAAAATGGGTTGTGCTCTAATCAGAACCCTTGAGGAAAAAAAAAAGAGCAAGAATGGGTACCATAGAGAATCTCTGCTGCAATCATGGCACATTAGAAACATTAGAGGAGCTGACGTCAAATTGATTGTATTTGATATATTCTATATAACAAATAAGTCTTTGCTTTTAACAAAACCAAAAAGAAAAAGACATTCCTAGCATTACTAAAAGCCATGAGAGAACCAAAAGTTCCCCCTACCCAACTCACTGAATTACAAGCACAAATACAACAGCCTCCATGTAATTACACAACACAGCCTCCACACATGATACTCCTGCAGATAATTCAACAAAAAAATAGAAAACATTCAGGACAGATGTACGAATAGAAATGCAGTCTTCAAAAATTAACTAAAGAGGTCACAAAATAAAACTCTGCAAAGGTGGAGTATTCTTTAACTCGTAACTGAAACAATTGATTTGAGAATAGATCTTGCTTTGTTTGTTTGTGAACAATATGAAGTGTACAACAGTGAAGGGATAACAAAAGGATGTCCTGATGTCCGTGGAGACAATAGTCCCCTGTATGGACTCTTTTATGCTGTATGTATATTATCAATAGAATTCTCAGCATCCCTAACATTAACAGTGTAGATTAGTTCAGGACAAAACACGTGAATTGTGGGTGCCCATGGGCATGGGCTTCATCTAAATACAGTGGATTCTGATAGTTGCACCTCTGATGACCCTACACAGATCAGTGACGACTTTAACCTAAGAAATACCCAGAAGCAAAATGTTAATCCTTTTACCAAGGGAACACTGTTTACTGTGGGTTTGGTCAAATTTGGACTTCAAAGGAACACAGAAGAAAGTGAGAGAGGGAAAAAAAAGAAAAAACAAAGTCCTATGTCTCAAATCAGGATGCAATTTTCTTGGCTGCTTCATCATTGTATCTCATTCAAATTTAAATATACTTTTAATTTACTCAAACCCATAACAGGTAGGACCAAACCAGTTTACTGTAAGGGTTGAATTTGAGCAAATTATCTACCCGTTACAGTTTGTGAACTAATTTATGTGAATTCCTTGAACAGATATGGACAAGAACTTACAGGACTGAGCAACCAGACTTCCTCTGCCTTTTCTTCCTAGCCATCTCCTTCCTTCTTGGAGGTTGAAGAACAACCTTGATTGCAGTATCAAAAACAGCTTTAATGTTCTGATTAATCAAAGTGAAGAAGACGCCAGTCAAGCAATCAGTAACATTTTAATAAAACTGCAAAACAATAGAAACAAGGGAGAAGCAAAGGATCCAAAGTATTTTCATATGGATCTAAGCATCTACCTGCTGAGTTTTCGAGCTGCATTCAATATAGGCTGCTGCACCAATTTGTTTCCTCAGCTCCTCTCCCTAAACACAAACCAGAAAACAAGATTATGTCCTGCTCCATCACATAAAGCAGTACAGGATTTAAAAAATGAATGAAATTATCCAGAACACACTTGAGCAGATGTTATTGCAGCAGAGCCGACATGATCAGCCAGATAACCTTTGTCGTCACGGAGATCTGAAGAGAAAAAGCAGCTGCATAAATGGCAATTACTAGAGTAATATTCTACTGTGAAATGTCCAACCAGAATATCAACGTATCAGAATCTTGCATACCCAACTTTGTTCCAACAAGAACAATTGGAACATTCGGCGCAAATCTACGAAGTTCAGGCATCCACTAAGGGAAAAAACAAAGACAAAAATCAGTTGCTAAGCTTGTAGACTTCAATTTGTATGAAGATGATAAACTGCTTATAACATAATCCATACACAAAGATGTATAAAAGAAGAAATGAGAAAACAGAGAAGGACGGGAATGGAACTGATAATATATTTACCTTCTTGAGAACATTTTCATAGCTTGCTCTGCTGAGTAAGGAGAAGGCCAAAACGAATACATCCGCTCCTCTATAGCTTAGTGGCCTCAAGCGGCTATAATCTTCCTGACCTGCAAATCAAACAAAAAATAACAATGGATGAAATGAGGAGCCAAATACCAGAGAAATTTTGCAAGAATACAAACTCAAATACAAAGAAAGAAACTACAAGCAGAAGAAATCAGTAAATGGGCTAAAAATACCTGCAGTATCCCATAATCCCAAGTTGACAATGCTCCCATCCACAGCCACATTAGCACTAAAGTTGTCAAAAACAGTGGGTATATAATCCTGTCCACCAGAGAGAGAGAGAGAGAGAAGCCGTCAGACAATACAGTAATGAAGAACCCCAAAATAAATGAAATGGAAAAAAAAGAAAGAAGATATGAGAACCACGAAAAGCTTTGCTCCTCTTTTGGAAGAATTGAATATATATAATAAAAAGACTAAAAAGGAAGAATTTTATACTTTTATGTAAGGTGAAAAACCTGTAACTGTCTACGTTATCCATTTGAAACACAAGAAGAGAAACGACGGTGAGGAAAAGAAAATGAGAATCAAGTCCTGTATAAAATAAAAAACAAAAACAGATGAACCTTTTAAGAAAACTCAGAAGAGGAAAGTATAGTAAATAAGGCATCGTAAACAAGGAAGACCAGAAATCCAGAAAGAAAGCAAGAAGAAACCCAGCTCCGAAATTGCCTTTCCTCGAGAACCACCACACTGAAATCAATAACCCATAAGCAGAAACAACAACTGGGCAAAGAAATTACGGAGAAACAAGAAAAGAAGAAAATAGAGAACAATACGAAGAGAAAAATAAACAGAAGGATATAAAAGCAGAAAACCCAGCTCAAGAAATTGCAGATTTTGGAACCACCACACAGGAATCTACAACCCATCAACAGGCTCCGCACCTCGGAAAAGAAAATGAAGTAGGACATAACAGAAAAAAGAAAAAGGAAAACTGTATGTAGAGAACGAGAACGAGAAAGGGCGCGCGTTTAACAGTTTGGACTTTGGAGTGGGTATCAGTGAAACTTACTGTTGGGAACTTGTTACTGGTATAACAAATGAGCATACAGGTCTTTCCAACAGCTCCATCTCCAACTGTGACACACTTGATGAACTTCGAAGCACTCATCCTCAGATCCTCTCAACTTACTTTAACTAGAACTATGACAGCTTCGACGCTAGATGAAACAGTATCAGCTGAAACAGTCCCCAATAATTCAGAACTCAGAAGCTTCTACTCTCTCTTTCTCTCTCTGTATATTCCAATCAAAAAGTTGAAACCATGAAGAAGGGGAAGAAGAAAGAGGAAGATTGAGTTTGAGAGAATAGTAGAATACCCAAGTGAGGGAGCTCGATGATTTATAGGCTGTTTGTGTTCATGTGTTGTGGTTTCAAGAAAAATTAAAAAATAATAATAATACAACCCGAGCCGCGAGCGAGCGGGGGATGCCTTGGGGTTTGGTGGTCAAAGGGTCTCAGTAGTCGCTAGTCACTACCATCTCTGCACTTGTCATCCCTCTCAATAAATTTCAAAATCTAACAGAACAGAAAAGTTTTGAAATGCAGAAAGCAGAGGAATCGGGTCCCACCCTTCAAACGGCATTCCCCACACCCCCATCTCAACACCCCCCCGCCCCCCCCCCTGCTCCGTGGGATATTGGGATCCAACCATAAAAACACCTCCTTTTTTTCACAGACAGCTGACGGACATGAGCTTTTTTGTTCAAATGTTTCTCCGGTTGTTAAATTACTGAAAAGGCCTTTGGAGCTTCCAATATTAACGACCACTGGACTGTTGTAGAGTGACCAAAATGAGAAGGGTGCTTTAGCCTTCTGGGTTGAGTTGATGGGTAGTTGGTCAGCTGCTGCTTGACTGTGTCCTCTGGTATTGGGGAATGGGGCAGAGAGATTCACATTTTACAGTCGTTTCCACGTTCAAAACTGTAGATGCATTTCCAAAATCGCTGGATTGGAATTTTGTCTTCTCGACGGGGATATTGCAAAGAGCCATGATTTGGATAGAGCCTGCAACCTTGGCGCGTGGCGCCAGTAATTCTGATTGTAGATCCTCGCAACGTTCGATCCTTCCTATTTAAAAAAATTGAAATCTAAACCAGTGAGTTTCTGCTATGCAGATTTTGAGGGGATTCCTTAATAAATATGTTCCAGATAAACCCCAAAGTAAAAACAAAAGAAGTAACCAAAGAGAGAGAGAGACTTATGGAGTAAGATACTGCCTGTATATGCACGAGGGTGAGATTCCAGAACTCCTGAATTTCGTATATCTTGACAGGCCACACTCTGGCAATCAGGATTTTGGCATTTTTTCGAACACGCGGAGGGATGTAACGCAATTTTTTCTTAACGAAATTCCTTTTAGCTTTACAAACATGAAATTTCATGCATTGCCCATTTCTATTGAGTCTACTACTGTCATGAAACTAAAATCCACAGTTTGCGCTCACATCTAGCTTGCCCATGAGATAAGGAACCAATAATAGGGCAAAAACTTTTAATGGGAGAAACAAAAAAAAAAAAAAAATATTGGGGACAGAGAGCTCAAGAATTAAAGCTTTTACTCTGTCGTTTCTGCTGTCTCCATGAGTAGAGATGTTTTGCCGAAGTCTATTATTAAGAAATAAAAAATGAAAATGAGACAGAGAAACGACGAATCATACATTACTGCTCCTAATAAGTACAAATTAGTTTAATTATTTGAAAGACAAATGCTTAAGAAATACAAAGGCTAAAATTAATGGAATCGTACCTGCTCTTTTTCGATAAATGAATCCGTTAGGGGTGTGAATGGTATTTAAAAATTCAATTTAGAATTTGATATTTAATATAATTGAATTGAATTTGGATAATTCGAATATTTAATTGGTCGAGTTTGGATATCTTATTCTTATTGAATAGTTAATCGGATTTGAATTTGGATATAACCTATCCAAATTTAATTAATTATTTAATTCTTATATATTATATAAAATATTTTATATCATTTATATATAATAATTAAGTTATATAAATAATTTATATATTTATATATTTTATATAAATAAAATATTTATTTTATATATTTATTAAATATTTACAATAATTAACTAATCAAATTCGAACTGAATCGAATATTCGAATATTTAATCAAATTCGAATTCAAATATTAATTTCCAATATCCGTCAGATATCCAATCAAATTCAAATATCGAATTTTCTAATCGAATTTGAATTCAAATATTGATTAATCCAATTCAAATTTGATCCGTTTACACTCCTAGAACCCGCCATCTGGTATAAATGAGGAACAATCTGCGAAGAAATTCGAGAGGATAGCAAATACAGGACATATGAGAACCTTGCCAAAAAACGCCACGTTTGAAAGAATCTGAAACTTCTTCATGTAATTTCTCCATGCCCTACTCATCTCTTTTCCAACGGCAGACTGTCCGTCCTTCTCATGTTATCTATGTTTTGAGCTCAAACGCTCTCCTTCAGGTCCAGAGTAATTTCTCAACTTCAATTAATTACAGTGATTCGATCAAATCCTATTTTCGTTGAACAATGTAAATATGTTTTTTGAGCATACCTGTACATTTTTGTTTGCAGACTCCGTAAGTTTCAAAAGAAAACGTTGTCGAGATTATCTGTTCAATCTTCGTACGTGTTTGGTTCGGCGTTTATGAATAAGTCATTTATTTGTACATTTTCATTTTAAATGTTTATTTATATTTTTTCATTTTATATTAGGAACGAATCGAATTGAGTTGGTTTGAGTCATTTTTTTTTCAATCGATCCAACCTAGTTGGTTTATTTATTGACTAAATCAAAATCGACTGATCAAGAAGTAAAACCAACCCAAACATGAAGGGTCGGTTTGGGTCAGTTTATCGGTTATATATATATATATATAACTATTTATGTTTAAGTTTATTTCTTTTTAGTTTTTTATGTAAAACTGTTTTTTTGTCAATATATATTTAAATTTATACAAAATTGAATTAAATATTGTACCATTGTATTATATTTGTATTGGTTTTACGTTTTTAGTTTTTATCATATATAACCAATTATTTTCAAAGTTCAAACAAAACACAAATAAAATATATCAACATTTAACATATAGGGTAGGGACTAATTCGGTTTGGTTTAGCTTTGGTTTTCATACATGAAAACCGAAACCAAACTAAGTTGTTGATTTATTTTTTCATACAAACCGAAATTGACCAATGACTTTGAAAAACCGACCAACTCGGGTCGGGTCAGGCCGGTTTGGTTGGTTTGACATTTAATGTGAATACCCCTACTTTAAACGTTTCCTAATTTTGTTGTTTGGTTGGGTTTCACTTTAAACATTTTTTACTCTCCACCTCATATTAATATCCATTAAAGTGTGTCACATCAGCATTTGGTTTCAAGAATTTGACGTTTCCCCAAATGCCCTCATGCACAACCCTATGTGGTGCTGATGTGGTGGCATTTTGCTTCATATGCAATAAACAGTACACCGAACAGTTGTTTCATTTTGCTTCATATGCAATAAACACCAACACCTATGTGGTGTTGATGTGGTGGCATTTTTTCAATAAACACCCACGGAACCAAACACAACCTTCATTTCAAGTAACTAAGTAAACTTAGGCTGTGTTTGGTTATATGGGCGTTTATTGAAAAAATGCCACCACATACGCCGCAGAGGTGTTGGCGTTTATTGTAGATGAAATAAAATGAAACAATTGTTTGGTTTCACCATTTATCAAATAAATGGTAGAAAACAAAACGCTTTGGTTTTTGTGCATGGGGCATTTGGGGAAACATCAAATTATTGTTTCCTCCAACGCCCTAACGTTTCTTGAAACCAAATGCCGATGTGACACACTTTAATGGGTACTAATATGAGGTGGAGAGTAAAAAACATTTAAAGTGAAGCCCAATCTAACAACAAAAACAAGAAATGTTTAAAGTAAAAAACATTTAAAGTGAAAAGCATAAATAAATGTTTAAAGTGAAAAAGTACAAATAAGCACCTATCCATAAACACCCGTGGAACCAAACATATAAACTGTGGATGTTTATTTACTAAACGTTTTGTACTTGATTTGTTTGGAAAATGAAGAAAAACAATAATGATCCCATTTATTGATACTTAGGTGTTATTAGGCACCACATAAGCAAAATAATGAATAAACGCTTATCCGATGGGGGAAGCACTAAAATGAAGTTTCTCCCAACAATAGGCACACCCATAAATCAAAGCCTACTTTTGCAAGTTTCTAAGTGTACGGATTCATATAATGGGGCAAATGCTGAAATAGTGCATATATGACAGCATTTATTTAATAAACGCCCAAGATTTCAAACACCCTCTTAGTTGCAATGGAATCTAGCTCTAATCTAATAGCTCATATTAGAATTTGAACATAATAATAAGTTCAATTAATTAGTTATTCTAATTTGAATTTGGCCAATGAAAGGATATACATACTTAATGTAAAGCCTTCGAAAAAAATGTAAAGGCACGTCAAAGGGTAAAACAGTAAAAACATAAGCTGAATCCTAATATAAAAATATACATTTTCTAACATTAACTAATTTGAACACAATTTTCTTTTTCATATAAATTTATCTATCTTTATAGGTGTAAACAAGCTTTAAAAATTGTGTTCTGTCATTATCAATACACAAATACTTTCTTGCCAAAAGCCAGCAAAACTGAACAGAATGCATATTTGCACTAAACCAATTATCTATGCATGTATTTGAGCTTTTTGGTCAAACTCAAATTCATCAAATATTTAATTAAATTTAGCTCAAACCAGAAAATAAATTTCATATCAAACTCGAACATATTTATATTTTAATCGAACGGAAACAACTCTAAAGTTTCTTTAGGTTTGATCACACCCCTGCATCCACTGTTGATTCTTTCGGTGGGCCATCATAAAATAGCCCAATATAATACAAAAGGATAAGATACCTGATAGTGTGTGATCTAGATGTTCCTAACCGGAATGTAGTTTGGACGTCGGTTGTGTAGTAGGGCGGTTGAACTATAAAATAGATGGATTAAAGAACCCGAGGTGGCTAGTCCGACAAGGTCGTTCCGATGCTTAAGTTAGTACTGGATGTGAGTAGCGAGTTGAAAACTTGAGAACTAGAGAGCTAGAATGTACTAAATAACGTGTACCTAGGTCATAGGGGCTGATTCCCTTATATAACTGGGTTGTCGTGAGTCTGATGAAACACTCCTAAGATCATCGGTCCGATCCGTAGGAGTCCGTTCTACTCTGGAAAGTGGATAACGTGCTAGCTGGTAAGGCCTATCGTGTCCCTCCAAGGGGTTCGGAGACAACTGACAAACTTCTAGAAGGTTACTACGTGTCACTTCGACAAGCTAAGTTATCCTGAGATACTCGGATTTCGATGCTATCTGAGGCGACTGAAATACCTAAGGTGACCCGATCTGCCGAAGTGGCCGAGGATGCTGAGTCATGCATCTAATCACCTATGTC